AGCGCAGGCCGTCGCGAGTAGCAACTCCGCGCGGCGCGAAGCTACCTTAACTCCCTACAGCCGTGCACACTTGGCACTGCTTAGAAAGCAAAGCACTTGACCCAAAAAGGCGTTGACAAATTATGTACAACATGCAAAGCTAACAAACTGGCAGCAGCTGCAGAGACATGTGCACTGACACAGGTATGTGCACTCACAATTCGCCCCTCAGCCGAGGCTCCTCCGTGCCGTCGCACGCAAGGTGGGGAGGGCGCGTTCGCGGCTTTCTCAAGCCCACGAAGGCCAAGCGGAAGGGCGAGGCCCTGGCAAGCACGCGAACGACGAACGGTCGACCCTCCTAAACCCACCAAAACCCTGGCACTCAGTGCCCGCTCGGGCTCTCCTTTTGGCGCGGAGAGTTGAGGCTTCCGAAGAAGCGGTCTCTGCAGTCAAGCTGCTGGGAAACTGTACAACTAAGGTACACTATACAGCTACGGCTACCTGAGCTACCTAAGCTACGTGGCACGGTCCTGCCAGCTAAAGCTGCCTACGCTCAGACAGCCGCGCCCGAAGAAGGGCCGCGAGCCGTATGGCCGCGACCGAACAAGGTCCGCGCGCCAACCTCTGCAAGGGACGGCACGGCTGTGCCGAACACGAGCGCCGGCTGGCGCGACACAAAAGTGTCCGGCGACCCGAAAGGGCCGACTATTAGTCACGGCGGCCTGTCTCACCAGGCGGGCCGCGACCAATCAAGGTCCGCGTGCCGGCCGCACAAGGTGGCAGCAAGGAGGTGCCGCACACAAGTGCCAGCAGGCACGGAAAGGCTCTAAGAAGGCGGGCGTCCAGCAGAGACGCCGCGCAGAAAACTGCCGCAGGCTCCCAAAGAGAACGGCTTCAGCAAAACCATTGGGAGACCTGCCCGCAAATTGATGCCGAGCTGTGGCCGAACGTGCACTGCACAAGCCGCGCAGTGACACTGCCGCAGGCCCAGCTCAAGGCTCTTAAAAAGACGCCGGACTATGCTCTTAGCCGCGGCAAAAGTGCCCACGGGCTTCGCGCATGCCGCGCGGAAGCCCGCCGCGAGCACCTTACGCAGCAGCCGGCTCTGGCCGCTGCTGCTGCTGCTGCCTGCCGGTGGAACCAGCCGCCTTACCGGGCGGCTTGGCGTCCTCCAGGGGAGTGCCAGCAGCAAAGCAAGTGTCGAAGTCGCGGAGATAATCTCCCACGACTTCTGCATCCTGGGCCAGGGTGAGGTGCACTCCGCACTCCAGGTTGGCCTTAGAGCTCGTGCTCCAATTGAGGGAGCCGATCACGAGCTCGGCCTCACCGACGCCCAAGCGGAGAAGGGCCTTCCCGTGGTGGAGTCCCTTCAGGCCTGCGCCCACTGCGGGGCCGCGGCCGTCGGCGACGTACGCGTCGCGGACGGACGACCCGTTGCAGAGGCGCACACGGGCACCTGCTTGGGCAGCGCGTTTAAGCGCCTGCCACTGCAGCTTCGTGCGAGAGCACTGCTGGGAGTCCGCTATAATGCTGCATAGCGCTCCTCGGCCGCACGCCTGCTCAATCGCCTCGATCACCGACGGCGAGTCGAAGCTGTACGCCCGGAAAAAGAGCTTCTCGCGGAACTTGGCGCGGCCAACAACGTCCGCGCCTGCGGCGGAGGTACTGGCAACCAGTTGAGAAGGCCGCCGAGGCAGCTGATCTCGCGGCTCTTTGCAGCGAGGCCCGAGAAGCACTCGGAGGTGCTCGCCGTAAACGCGAGGACTCCTCCGCGTGCACTGCCGCAGGGGTGCCCTGAGTGCCACTCACGGGCACAAGGTCCAGGCGGTTCAACTTTACCTAACCCAAGACACGCTACGAGCTACAAGGCAAAGCAAGCCGAGAGACTGTTTTGACTTTGCCGGAAACGCGAGAAGTAAGTTGAAGCTGCAAGCCAAAGCTAAGCAAAGAAAAGCTACAACGAAGCTTCGAGAGTTTAGACCCCCTCGCCCATAATAAAGCAACAAAAGTACGAAAGGTATAAAAGTCTAGTTAGATAAAGCTAAGAAAACATCACAGGGCTGGGCGGGTGGGTCAAAAATTTTTTATTTCCAACGAAAGCGGTATTTCACAAAAGGGAAAGTCCAATCAAATATAATTCCAATATATAATAAAAGTCGTGACTCAGGCACTCGGTCAGACCCTCTCTCTTTTCACGCAAGCGGGGTATGTCCTGGTGAGAAACAGCATGCATCGTGAAGCAAAGGGTGCACACACCCAACACACAGCATACACCATGTGCCACTGCACATGAGGATGAACGGCAATCCGTCATCTCTCACCCTACCCCCCAGGGCGGGCGGGAACAAAATTGATCTCACGGCTGCACACAGCCCAAATGCTACAGAGATCAAAGGAATCGCATCACCGAACATGTCGCACAAAGTGTTGCAAGCACTCACAAATGCACGACAGAAAAAGCACATGGCAAATACCGCAGCACTGCAATTCAGAAAATCGTTTGGGAAATAAAATGCTGTCTCGCAAGCGAGAAGGCTTATTTATTTCCAACGAAAGCGGTATTTCACAAAAGGGAAAGTCCAATCAAATATAATTCCAATATATAATAAAAGTCGTGACTCAGGCACTCGGTCAGACCCTCTCTCTTTTCACGCAAGCGGGGTATGTCCTGGTGAGAAACAGCATGCATCGTGAAGCAAAGGGTGCACACACCCAACACACAGCATACACCATGTGCCACTGCACATGAGGATGAACGGCAATCCGTCATCTCTCACCCTACCCCCCAGGGCGGGCGGGAACAAAATTGATCTCACGGCTGCACACAGCCCAAATGCTACAGAGATCAAAGGAATCGCATCACCGAACATGTCGCACAAAGTGTTGCAAGCACTCACAAATGCACGACAGAAAAAGCACATGGCAAATACCGCAGCACTGCAATTCAGAAAATCGTTTGGGAAATAAAATGCTGTCTCGCAAGCGAGAAGGCTTATTTATTTCCAACGAAAGCGGTATTTCACAAAAGGGAAAGTCCAATCAAATATAATTCCAATATATAATAAAAGTCGTGACTCAGGCACTCGGTCAGACCCTCTCTCTTTTCACGCAAGCGGGGTATGTCCTGGTGAGAAACAGCATGCATCGTGAAGCAAAGGGTGCACACACCCAACACACAGCATACACCATGTGCCACTGCACATGAGGATGAACGGCAATCCGTCATCTCTCACCCTACGCCACTTCAAAGAGAGATGTTAGGAAAGAGTTATGACCTGTTGCACGACATCTTGGTAAATGGCATTGACTGCAGATGCATCGGCAGCATGGACCTGAGGAAGCATGTCGCAACTGATGTTGCGGCTCGGCGCATCTGCAATATTGCTGCACGACGGCACGCGCGCACACCAAGGCAGAAGGGTGCCCTGCTCACAAGTCTTCGCAAAGATATGGCATATGCGGGTGATAGCCCATGAAGCAGAGTAGCCCTTTATCAAAGCAAAGCGTGCACCCTCGTTATCAAGATATGCCATGCACTCCGAAGACGAGAGGTGCTGGTTCCAAAGCAAGAAGGCTACGACCACTGCGACAGTCTCCAACTCACCGATGCCCGTGACGGCATTCACTGGAAGCAAGGGGCGAATGTCACTCTCGCACAATGGCAGTCCGAACCAGCTGACAACAGAACCCGAAGGAGAAATTAGAACACCCCCTAATCCCCCAACGAAGTCAGGCTCGAAACTTGCATCTGTAAAGACAAACCAAGGATGTGCCAAGGATCTCGTAATGCGCCTCGGTGACCCATGCAACACGCGCTCGAGCAGAAAGCTGAGAGCGTCCCGAGCAGGGGCAGCTAGCACAGGAACGAAAGGCCACGCATGCACATGGGAGCTGATGTGCTTGAGGGCGTAGTGCCCCGCTTTCCCCATCACCTGAGAGTTCGCAAAGGAGAGCTTGCCTCTCAGCTCAAGACCTTCCTTGTACGGCAGCACACCTTCATCAAGAACGCGTGTCACTAAAGCCCGAATGTCACCTTTACGCTTGTCTGTGTTGTCAACAGTGACCACGCAGTCACCTGTATCTTTCAAGTCGAAGCGAAGCCCCAGGGCCGACACTTGTCTGGAGAAAACGTCAGCCTTGGGTCCCTCCACATCGAAGACCCAACCCAGGAGTTGGAACAGAAGCTCCATGGTGGCTCCAGTGTTGTCTGCAAGACAATCGGGCGATGCAACAATGAAGTCATCATAGTAAGAGGTGGTGGGCACAAGCAAGCAACGATTGGCAAGCCATTGGATGCACCTAGAACACCTGATAAAGCCGTTCACTGAAGCACGCGAGCCGAAGGGGAGGCAGACCTGAGTGAAGAGCATGGTTTTCTGCTTATGTGGGTCATACACGGCAATGACTGCGAAGCGACGTGAGCTCAAGGCTACGCACAGCTGGCGGTAGGCCGCTGTCAGGTCGAAGGCACGACCCTTGATCCAAGAAGGCTTCTTAGCATCCCGAAGTTTCGTGCACAGCCTGACGAACATAGCAGCCGCCACATCCGCAGTGTCGACAGTGGGCTGCTCCAAAGTCGTTCACACAAGAGTTGACACCACTCCTGCTGTAGTCATCGATGGGACGCAGCTTCCCACTCTGCAACAAAGGGAACCTATGGGATACGACATGCCCCTGCGGCAAAGAATCCCACTCATAGGGCCCCAGGAGCCAGCCTGAGTCGACCTCCTTCATTGTCTTTTCCCACAACAAGATGTCCTTATCCCGATCCCCGGAAGACCCCAAGGAGACCTTGAGAGCCTCGTTGGCCCGAGGGGCCGCAGCGCACAGGTCATCAGGGCGCAAGGAGGCTGGAGTAACCTTCCCTGGCAGCACATTAGAGACAGGTGATTTGCCCACTAAGTCAAAGCCCGACCAAATATCCCTAGCAAGGTTTACATCATCATAACCCTCGGCTGCAATGATTTCGTCAAGCAGCTGCAGGCGTTTCTTGCACAGGACACGCTTCATGTGTGGGTCGTCTATATCCCAAGAAGGGTCCGGGTCGTGCTCGATTTCGCACGCACGCGCAGTCCACTTGTCAAGCCATTTCCTCCTCTTATCCACCACAGCGTGTGGCGGAGCCTTAGCAAGCATGTCCACACATGACTCAAGGTGATCCGGCAATGAAGAAAGTGAAGAGCTGGGATGGCCTGCGCGTACAGCTGCACGCACAAACTCGCTCTCATCAAAAGGGACCCCAAAGGCCGCTGCACATGGCCGACCACAGACTCAGTTTCCCTGCTCTTGCAAGGCTGAACGCGAGGGCATGTTGTTGTCGCACAAGCAATCGGCTCAGGGTGGCCAGGCAAAGGAAAGCCCAAGTCACACAGGACGCTCACATCCTCTTTCTTTAGAGAAGCAATGCGATTCGGAGTAAACCCAATCAACACGACTCTAGAGCCCTCCCACGGCACAGTGCAGTGGAAACGATGTGCATCGAACTCCACCGGGTTGTCAGACACTTGCAGGACACGACCAGTAGCTTTGCCAAGGGGCGTGGCTCGCACATGCTGACCATCATCATCTTGTACCCAAATGCCCCCTTTATCAAAGTCGGTCAAGGCCATCACGTAGTTGGAACTCCCCTCCAGGTTATTGGCATCCCGGTGCATCGGAGTGCACACATTGGAGTAGATCGCAACTGTGGCAAATGTTGCATGCGGAAAGCAGGTACGCAGGAGCCGCACAGCTAATCGAACAGCATTCGGAAACAGTCGGGTGTTCCTACGCAAACCACACAAAGTGCCCTGGGAGTAGGCTCCAGCAGACCAGGCTTTCTCACGCCCATCACTAACACCCCTGGCCGGAGTCTCTGCGGGCAACGTATCGGATGTATCGAAAACCTGCAGCAGCTGCGCTTGCGTAGGGACATCACAAATGTCCGCAGCTAACACCTCAGCCTCACTGGTCGCAGTCATCACAGCAGCACTGCTGCTGGGTTCAGGCAAAGCTAAACCGGAAGAAGAAGGCGAAACATCCACTAAACCCGACGGGGGAGGAGGAACCGGCAGGGGAACCCTAGGGAGGATGTCGCCATCATGCCATCGGTAACTGCTGCAGCAGGAGGGCTCCCGCTAGCGGTTCTGTCTGAGGATTTGTCACCGCTGACTGGTAGACACACCCCCTTTGAAGAGTCAGCAGCGGTGAGGGCAAGGGATGGGAGCAGCTTAGCTCCTGTAGGCACGACCACATCGTGCACACGCAATGGCTGAAGAAGCCGCCGTTTGTTATCCAAGGCGGGCAAATCGCGCAAGGTCACTCGAACAAAGTATTTGAACTCTGGCACCGGAGCAAGCAAAGGCTTGCGAGGCTGCTTACCAGTACCAACCTGAGCTGCAAACAAAGGTGGCAACCCTGACGTGTCGATATCTAGGTGTTTGATCATGACGAAAGCCAGAGCCCGATACATGCGCCCCATAGCTGCATCGACCGTGGCCTTGGCAAGTGGCGGCTGCAAGACAGGCGGGGCAATGGCAGCCAAAACCTCAGGGCATGAGGATGCAAACCTGATGCGACCACGAACCCCAGGGGCGAAACGGCTCAAGTCAACATCAACGGCAGAAGAAGCAAGCTGCACCCCAAGCGAAGTGCTCCAAAAGGATGAGCGAGGTGGCGCTTCGATGGTCCACCTGGTATCAGTATCAGCACAATGCTTGATGAGCTGAGCAAAAATGTAAATGCACCGTTCCACTTCACGCTGGGCATCACTTGAATTCGAAAGTTTGTCGGAAAAGACAGAGGCAGGGCATCGGATGTGAATCCAAGCACACGTGGGCTCACGAACCCACGATGCACACAATGCAAAGCCTCCTGGAGACAAAATGTCAATGGGAACCACAGGCGCCGCAGAAGCTTGAGAGCATCCTCTGCCAATGGCAAAGGAGCTTGGCAACACCGTTCGGAGACAACCACACAAGCTGGCACGCCTAGCAAAAATTTCGATACAGAAAACTCTATCACTCCCGTTCAGCACATGACCCTCAATTGGCTTTGCTGGGTGCACGGACGATCCCTGACACTCGGGCACTGCACATGCAATCACATCGCCCGTGCACGTATCCCGTCACTCTGTGCTTGCGGAAGAGTCATGTTCGCTCATTAAATGCGGCTTGTAACACCCAGGCTTGCAGCACACATGCTTGAACTTGCACTTCGCTCCAGCCTTGCATTTCCCCAGGTTGAAGTTGAAGCAGATTGGCTTATTATCCGGCGTCCTCGAGTGCATTCCCTTAAGGACCTCGGGGATAGGGTCACGAGTTATCTTGGCCTTCTTGTTCGGGCTCTCATCGTCATTTGTGGTCTTAGTGCGCTTCCGACCCTTACCCTCTTTCTCAGCCTTGCCTCCTCCCTTGCCCTGGCCCTTCACAGGCAGCAAGAAGTACATCACAGTAGTGTTGAACTCAAGCTTCTCAAACTCCTTATCTAAGGGAAGGGACCCATCAGGACCTGGTTTCAAGTTTCCATTGCACACTCGAGCAAGCTCCAAGAAACACTGCCGGTCGGCCCGTAGCACTTGCGCTCGGGAAACACGCTGAAACTCGGGAGGCGGGTCCTGGCTCATGATGCGGAAAAGGCGCTCATTCCACTTCTGCACGCAAGCATAAGATGCAAGGCCCACCAAGTCCATGGCCAAGGCACGCCTCATCATTGCTTGATATGGCCGGTTGCGCCCTGGACTCTCGGAAGGGTTTTGGCTGGGTTGAAAATTGGTGGGGGCCGAAAACGATACGTTGAACGAAAAAGCAAAGCCAAACCTCCAGAACCCATGTTGCGTACGACTTGCAAAAGGAACTGCTCAAGAAAGTTTGAATCACCATGGACAGCGCAGACTTCATGTAAAAAAAGAGGCAAAAACCAGAGTGTCCTGAGATGGTTATGCTGTTCAGCTTGAAAACATTGCAAGGGCGCTTTTGTCCTGTTAAAAAAATTACTGCGCAAAGGTTGTGCTACGTTTTCCATCATGCAATAGACTCTCGTTCGAAAACGTGACAGACATGCCCAATCGCTGCTCTGTCGGATGTGCTGCAAAGGACGCTCGCAAAACCGTGCACGAGAGTTTATCTTAAAAAACTGGCCCCCGTACATTATGGACCCCAGAGGTCTCTGGTCTTCCCGGGCCATTTTTGCTTGACATGCCAAGTAACTGTAAGAAGGGAATGGATGCTTGTACAAACTCGCACCTGTTTAACTGTTTAGACATAACGAAGATTTGACAAATCAGAATCAACACCGGTGCTGAGTTCTCGGTTACGATCACGGAGACAAAGTTTCAACGCGATGAGTTGCTGCCATTCCGCGACCAAAAATTGGTCGAGGTTTCCGGCTTCACCTAATGCAACAGCAAAATGTGTTGCAAGAAAGCATACGAGCTGAGACGGGGACTTAGACCCTACAATGTGTCACACCAAGAGATTCTCGAACGAGACTTGTAAGCAGACACTGCAAATTTGAACCTGTCAGAGGCAACATGACAAAAGCAACACAGTGACTTCCCAATCTTGCAACATACTCCAATGAATCATCAGAGCAATTCGTCCTGCTGGTCGTACTGATTCTCAACCAGCACAAGCTATGAGATACAGAGAACCATGCATTCACTGGGCATCTTGGCCTTCCCGTCTCAGGCCAAAGCAATTCTAGCTTTGCACACCTGCCTTGCGCCAGCTTATTCAGAACTTTAGTACGCCGATCTGCCCTAGCCTACACTCCGCTTCATTTGTGCCATGTTATAAAAAATAACTTCCTGCTGCTAGGGCATCACAAAGCGTCCTCCACTACTCCTAGATTTAGACCCCGTCCAATGCCTCCCACACTTCCCAGCCTCTCTCTTCCAGGCTCTGCCAATCCCTCCCAGCCCCCAGCACCTCCCAGTGTCTCCCACCACAATCCAGGCCGGCAGGCCCTGACCTTAGTGAAAATTGGGGCTGCGTTTCCTGGCGGGGAGTCCCGCCAGACTGAGTTGCACAACAGAGCGTTTCACGGCGCGGTTGGCCTTTTTCGCTGGATTCCATTCAATTTCACTTTTTGTGCGGGTTTGTGTGGTTTTTGCTCCTTTCTGCTGCATTTTTGCATTTTCAGCACATTTTTGTATGTTTTAAAGGTTGTTTTGGGTGGGATTCCGGTGGGTTCCGGTGGGTTCCGGTGGGTTCCGGTGGGTTCCGGTGGGCTCCGGCGGGCTCCGATTCTCACCTGAAACTCTGCCAAATTTGCCACTTTTCCGGTGGGAATCCACTCCCTGAACCAAGCCCGGGTAACCAATTCTCACCTGAAAATCACCAAATGTTGCTGGTTTTCCGGTGGGAATGCTTCTCGAAGCTATTATGCGTTGGCAAAATGATACTTCAAAGCAAATCCAAGCATGGATTCCGGTGGTTGGGTTCCAAAGCGCTTTGGGGCTGGCCGAGGCCCACCTGAATGGCCTGCTTAGAAGGTCAATTTTCCACCAAACACCTGCAAAAGTTCAATTTGCTTGAGTTTGCTTCAAAAATGACCAAAATTTGTTTAAATGGCAGAATTCATTTGGAACTTGTTGGAATTGCAATTTTCTGGCTGCCAACGCCAAACGGATCAGACAGGAGCACCTCTCCATAAAATCTGTTGGCTTACCGATCTTTGTGTTCCGTTTCACTGGAGCCAGGGCACCGTTGCTGAGTGCTCAGTTTTGAGGGCAGAAACTAAACACACTGAAAAGAACAAGGCTCAGGCTCGCTTCAAATTGCTGTTAGCGTGCAGCTGCGAAGGGAACAGAAACCACGGTTTGAGACTCACAACTGCTGACATTGATTCGGTGCGAACTTTTGCAACCGCCAGCATAACAACGCTTGTTTATGCTACCACGTGGAAAGTGACGGCAGAATTGTGCTGCGAGAGCCAAATTTACATGCACTGAACTTGCTTCCATTTTCTCTTGCAGTCGGCAGTCTATCATGTTTATAACCTAATTATCTCATTTCAAACTTCAAAAAACTTCAAGACGCAAGATTCAAGACTTCAGGACTCAAGACTTCCAAAAATTCAAGACTTCAGCCTCACGAGTTCTGGAATTGGGGGTTCACGATCAAAATCAAGACTTCATGATTCATATTCATTCCATGAGTCTTTGAATTCATGCGACGTTTTGATTTGTTTCAACAGAACTGAAACACATTGGGCGTCAGAAGCTGGAACCGAAAGACCAGGCAGACCACGAGGGAGTCACAAGGAGTTGGAGGGAGTGACTCGCGCCACCGTGCAGTTTCGTCGTTCGTAAATGATAGACTCTGATTTTGATTATCTGATTATTTGATTGACATTTGACAATGTAAGTAATAAATAACATGTAAAATGACATAATATGCTCGGTAACATTTGTCGAAAAACGAAAAAGTCAAAGATCACGGCATCATGGCAACGGAGGAGTCATGACAATCCTAAATCGTGACAGGCAATGAGAGAACCTACAAAACAATCAAACACTTGTTATATTGTTGATAAAACTTGAATTTTGACATCTTGAAATCATGAAAAGAATCTTTCTAACAAGTACTTCCTGAGCCATTGATTCACTGAGCCCTTTCTTTCCGACTCCACGGCCTAGGCCCTCCTCGCAAGCTGAAGCTTTGGAAACTTTTCTACCTCCAACTAGCTTATGCTTTACACACAAAATGAACCTCAATCACAATCCTTTTTCACAGCCAAACTTTTAAAAAAACTCCAAACAGCTCCACTTCCAGCAGCGCGTCTTCCACTCCATTCCAAATCTTGGATTTGTGTCCAAGCCACACAACCAAGTCTCTTAAATGAGAACAAAAATTTTTCCAAGCAGAAAACTCCAATTTTCAACAGTTCCATTTGAACTGCAGTGTTCAAAAGAATCAAACCCTGCTCCAAGAAGGCGAAAGCACTGGGTGCAACCGACCAGCTTGATACAGGGCCAGGTCGCTCTCAAGTGAGATGGCGGATGTCGTCTCTTCATCTTTCACCACTAGCCCCGTCTTATTTGCATCTACATGCAAGGCCTTGGGAGGCTTCTCGCAACAAAGCTCCGCATCGCGAGTGATGCACTCATTGGGGGCCAGATACTTCAATTCATCATTCTCGCGCATGGTTGCTAACTTGTCACACACGCAATGAGCGACTGCAAGCGGGCCCTCCAGTGGCAATCCTGATAGACGACGCTTCTGAGCATCAATGCGCATGGAGCGCTCTGACGCCGGCAGCTTCCTTGGCACCTCGTCTGTAGCCTGCATCGAAGATCTCAGCTCAGCCACAGTCATTATCTGAGATTCAAAGATGAGCTGCTTCAAAGCGGAGCTATCCCCTAAGGTGATTCTGGCCCCCGGCCGGAGGGTCAAAATGAAAGCGTCCATATCATCACTCGAAGGTTGATTCCCCGGAAGCGTCACAGCATAGCTAAGTTTCCCTAGGGTCGTGATCCCTGCATCTTTCAAGGCGGTGATCCACGGGGCTGACAAGCCTGCTCGCTCGCACTGCCTGTCAAGGGAAGCTGTAGAGGTCAAAAGCGAAAGCGCAGCCATGCCGACTAAAGAGCACAAGCTCAGCGAACTATAACACAACAACCTCGTCACATCGACTCACAAGCCTGACAAGGAGCACCTAACATGAGAGGTATCGGCCAAAATCAGAGTAGCATGTGATGTTGTATGCATGCTCACTGTCTATCTCAGCCAGAGCGCACTCGCACAAGACATGAACTCAATGCCAGGGCATTCCCTGGGATGCGGACCCGGAAACACACGATGACAACTACTACATTCAGGACATGAGCACTCTCCCAGATGCATCAAGCCGCGCACAGCAGAAGGCACTCCGACTATGCACCGCGGAATTTTCACGCACCGTCATTACGGTTCATAAGCTCGTCCAGCCGCTCATTGAGGGCACGAGTGGAATCTAGCAGCTCTCCTTTCCAACAAACTGCACACCTGGGCCACTGGAAATAGGCTCCCTCACACATTGGCAGTGCGCCTCCCACACTTCGTCTTGCAAGCCGCCTGCCCGCCTTGAGGGCGATGAAGCATCCTCGACTTGATGTGTTGCCAGCATGGCTCTTTGATCTCAAACGGTTGGCTTACACCACTCGCCGTGATAGTTTGCTCTTCCGTTTCACTGGCCTCGGCAGAACAAGAACTCGACGACGAAGAAGATGAACTTAAGCCCCAGCTCCGTGTCTCGCGCAATGTCCCCAAACAATTCAGGAAAGAGCACTTCACTCCCAGATCCAGGTCCCTGCTCCCCCGCATCGTGTGTAGAGTGCTCAACATGATCCCAGGAATCATCATCACGCTCAGGCTCGCTTGCCTGCGAGGATTCCGGTAAGTCTGGAGGCAAATTGTTCGCATAATAATGCTCAAGCTCTCCTGGCACTTCTGTCTGATGCTCCCCTTCACCTGGCTCTTGCTCTAGCTGTGCTCCAAGGCCAAAGGCACCGCCTGAGCTCCCAAGTTGAACACTTGCAAATTCCCCGAACGTGGGTAGAAGAGGTTCCTTTGTGAGCCATCCCGAACGGGTACTATCTGGCCTGAAAACATTCGTCCTGATTTCCGCAAGCATTGCCCTGTAGGCGCGAAGGGGCGCGCTCAACAACTCTCAGCTGTAGCATGCCAACGAGCCCGAGCCCGGAGCATGGTGACCAAGAAGTAGGCCATCCCGCTCTCCAAAACCACGCTTGCCGACCCAAGCCAAAGTCGTACCCTTCAAGACATGCGACGTACGCCTCTGGTCCCCATCCAGCTCCAAGACGTTACACAACATATCACCGGCTTCGCTTGAAGTGCACCGTCTCTTGCACAGCTGACTCTCGGCATCTGGAGCACGAACCAGAGGCCTAAAGGGATTTGCGTCCCACTGCACACCCAGGCGAAGCCCGGCGCACCAGGCTCCCACCCAGTTGGCATCAGTAACTCCGGGAAACGGGGCTACCAGAGGCATCGCACACCTCTTTGTCTTTGCTGTATTGCTGGTCTTGTGATTACGGGTCCTGGCTTCTACAAAACCAGACAACTGGTTCTCACTCTCAAAGTCCATCCAAATGCACAGCAAATTTCTAAGATCGGACCACCTCGAGCGGCTATACAGGCAGAAAACAAGCTCGCCCAGCACATAAGTGTCTGCATTTCTAGTTTGGCAACACACTCCCGTTCGCCCTTAAGTCTCTTAGCACCGCCTTGCAACCTGCGGTCCTCAAGGATCTCTTTGCAAAAAGGCATGCCCACAATCATGATGTGCAAAGTTCATGGCTAAAAAAGGCTGTTACTGCACTTGCGGAAACGCCAAGGGATTTTCGTCTTTCTTTAAGATGCCACGCTTAATCGCAGTCCTAGAGATTTAATGCCAAAGACATCTCGAATCAACTCGTCTCTGGCCGACTCACTCTCTACAATCAAGCTGAGTAGCCTGCTCACCCACCTGTCCAGGATCACTCTGAGCTAGGCTAAAGATGCAACACCACTTGTTGATCGCTAAGACTCAAAGGTGATCGTCCTCAGCTTGGATAGAGATATCAGCCCTTGCAGAAAAGGATTTCTCAAAGAGTGTGCACGGAGCAGACCTGACACGTATGCACGGCACGTCCTTGGGGGCCGGAGTAAAGGAATCCTCTAATGCAGAAGGGCAAGGTTGCCGCAAGACAGGATGCTCTAAAGCACCATTGCCGAAAATGCACGACATAACTCCAGACTCCCAAGGGAGCCTGGACAAAAACTGGTCCGTCCATGCAACAATAAGCGGTCGATGTCTGCATCATCAATAACACTATGTGACATGATGAGAGGCTAAGCAGACACACCCCCATAGAAGCTAGCCAGAAAGGAGGCTCAATCTGACACGAAGCACTGAGAGGTCCGTTGGGCTTTTTGCAGCCACTGATCCAGGTAAGGCGCACTGCGGAGTGCCTGTGCGATTCCTGCAAAACCTGCTCTTGCAAAACAAGCAGCTAATCACGCAAGGTCTTCTAACGAAGGTTCCAAACGTGTTGGGATAATTCCTTGCAGCTGCTGGTGCTGGAGGCAGCACTGGAAGCAGAATCCGCCTCGTCCATCTGCCGCCCTTCCAGTGGAGAGGACGTGCACAGACTCTAAAAGCAACGTTGAAGGAGTCCTGTCAAGGACCTCTGTAGCCTCCAGGCTCAAACAAAATTGATCTCACGGCTGCACACAGTCTAAATGGCAAAAATACCGCAGCACTGCAATTCAGAAAAATCGTTTAGATATTTAAAGCATGGAGCGAAGCTTGGCTATGCTGAAGGACGCGTGTCTTGGACCAAAATGTTGTGTTTGGAACACGGTAAAGTGAAATACCCATCAGTAAACACATGAAACCTCCGCCGCCGAGCGCTGCGCCACAATGGCAAGGCGCCCTTAGTGTCGAAGACATGGCAGCTACAAGCAGCCTGTTTGCTCTTGACGCAGAGTCACACACGGTGTTGCAACCGCAGACGCCCACGAACAAAACATGCGATGCAGACAATCAACGTCACCACCACAAGGAAGCGCTGCGACGCACTGTGCGGCAGGGCTTGAGCAAAGGATTGTAAGCCAAAGCACTGGAAATGCGCACGAAGAATGGGAATTTGCTCAAGAGGCATTGTGAAGTGATCTGCGGCAGAGTTGGAATGCAAAAGAGAGTGAGTTTCGGGAGGATCTGCAGAGTTTAGGGCAGGATCTGCAAGGCAGGATTTGGGGGAGGGTCCGCAAGCAAGCGTTTCAAGGAGCATACACGAAAAACATGAGGGGTGGTATGTGCAAAAATTGAGGGTTTAGAGAAAGATCAGGCAGGACTTCGGGGAGGATCTATAACGAGACTTTATGAAGGAGTTATGGTTTTTATCGAGTGCAGCAGCAGTCGGTCATTGACAGTCTTCTTGTTTGCAATTCAAGAAACCTCCCTCCTGCTCCCTCAATTTCAATGTGTGCCGTAATGTGTGCCGCTATGCTCATTGGGCGCTTCAATGTAAACATTGAATGTGGGGGGGGTCTGGAAGGTTTCAAGATTTTGTGGACAATTCCCAAATTGTACTATCGCGCGAGGCCATTTTCAGTGTTCGAAAAACCACGAAAACTGTGGACGATTTGAGGAACCCTCAAAGTCAATTGCCGCCTTGCGAAGAGTTCATTCGGGCACTATTTTGGGCACTATTTCGGGCACTATTCGGGCACTATTCGGAGGCACTATGCCAGGTGGAGGCTTGGGCGGCATTATCTGGAGGGCTAAGGGTTGGGAGGCTTGCAGGACCACCAAAGCACTGGAAATACGCACGCAGGAGGCATTGGGGGAGTGCGATCTGCGGGGAAGGGTTTGGAATGAAAAGGGGGGGTTAAGAGAAGGATCTGCAGAGTTTGGGCAGGATCTGCAAGGCAGGATTTGGGGGAGGGTCCGCAAGCAAGCGTTTGGAGGAGCATACACGAAAAACATGAGGGGTGGCATGTGCAAAAATTGTAGGGTAGTCTATCTACAAGTTTACGGGGGCCTTGGCCATGCGAGGGTTTAGGGAAAGATCAGGCAGGACTTCGGGGAGGATCTATAACGAGACTTTATGAAGGAGTTATGGTTGTTATCGAGTGCAGCAGCAGTCAGTCATTGACAGTCTTCTTGTTTGCATATTCAGAAACCTCCCCCCGCCCCCTCAATTTCAATGTGTGCCGCAATGTGTGCCGCTATGCTCATTGGGCGCTTCTATGTAAACATTGAATTTGGGGGGAGCGGGGGGTCTGGAAGGTTTCAAGATTTGTGGACAAACAATTCCAAAATTGTACTATCGCGCGAGGCCATTTTCAGTGTTCGAAAAACCACGAAAACTGTAGGACGCATTAAGGTACCCCCATAGTATAGCACTGCCTCCGGTACGAGAGATTCCACTCCTCGCACTGAAAACAGAGCCACTCGGCCACCCGGATCGCAGCCGCCAGGGCATTCCTGGTGGACCGGCGCTGCTGGATCCGCGTGAGCTTTCGCTCTTGCCGCAGAGACTCGCGCTCCAGCCAGGCGCCGCGAACACGGGCGTCTTCGAGGAGCTGGTGGTCCTCGACAGCTTGCCACGCGTCCGGTGCCGACGATGATGTTATCATCTGGCAGGTAGTCTCCCTGCGCGGCAAGGCCGCCGCAGCGAACGGTCGCCGTCGGGCCGCCAGGCGGCTAATAGAAGCAGGTCGTTGCTTCCGGAGGGTTGCACCAGAGCAAAAATAGCAAATCCAAGACCTCCAGGTAATACGAGTCTTGGTCAAACAGGATGGAAGCTCCGACGCTGCTCCAGCAGCCGCTCCCTCCTGCTCCTCCTCCTCCGCCTCGACGTCCACCACCTCGACGTCGTCGTCGCACGAGCTTCCACGCGAGGTCCAGAGGGGGGCCGGGGAGGAGTTCTCGTCTCCTTAGCCTCTTCCACGCGGGGCGCCTTGTTGCAGCCGCCGCTCCGCTTGGACCGGTCAGCCGCCTTGGAAGAGCAACGGCGGTGTCTTGGAAGACGTACTCCCTCTGTCTGGACTGCGGGGCGTCGGGGTCAACCTGTGAAAAGTTTTGCTCC